ATCGTCAAGAAACAAGCTGCGGGAAAGAATGATTTAACAGTCACGCCCACCATTTGCCAATTTTATCATTTGCGGATCATCACTGGATGCCATGCGGTTTGTTCCGGAAGGAACAAGTCGAAAAGAAGCCATAATCTAGGAAAGAAAAGATTAATCAATTACCTTAAATACTAATGTTAACAAGTGCATTCGCATCGATTACATGTACACGCTGACAATACCTAATTTTGCTTGTTAAAACTGGGAATTTCACGTCTCTGTATCAAGCAAGACTCGCAACAATGACTTTCAACCCAGTTCTGAACTTATGCAGATCAAGTTTTGTACTGTCCTCTGTACAGAACTATTCGCAAGGTACATACCGAACAATCCTTCATTGATGCGGCCAATAGATATCTTTCTAAAAGCGAACGATCGTCTGTTCTTTCCAAAACTTCAAGACCTCTGACCGGAAGACGATTTTTGTCTAGGAGTTGCTTCTGAACAAGATATTGCAGTAGTTTGGTAACTTCAAAATAGCGAACTACACCACATCGACATACCTGTGCAGCTGCAGGCAAGCTTTGAAAGATCTGATGAGCTCTCACAATCCCAACAGAATCAATCCTTTGTGCAGATAAAATTTGCCCGAGAACAGAATGATCACGTAGAGAAAAGTCGCGGACATCACTGCATCCAGCCAGAACGAGACACAACTGAACGTGAAGTTGATTACTGCCACAAAATTGCCAAGAAAGTGTCGCATTATTGACATCTCAAAAACCTACAGCAGTCATGAGATCATCAGCATTTCCTTGCCCACTAGGAAAAAGAGTTGGAGTGAGCAGTGTGGCATCAAGAGGAGACTCGTCTGAGTGTACCTATCAAATTTTCCAATGCAAGCAATTCGAAGAAAATGATGGAGCTTGAAAAGAATCCTTACCAAATTCCCATCAACGAAAATTCGAAGATTCCTGTGCGGAACTTTCATGAGAGCCTCTAAAGAGGATTTCATCTTTGAAAAGTTTCCCGAATATAAGTCGAGTGGGCAGAAGTCGTACATCTCCTCGTAATGGTCAGAACCGCATTTTTCGAGCTATATTCGAGTTTGCGTAAGGTAAATAAATCTTCATGCAAGAAAGAAGAACTATGAAAAATGAACAGAAAAAGAACTACACTCAATGAGTGCTTACACTCATACCTGCAGTATGCAATTATTGCAGTATGGGAAGTCCATAGAGAGATGATTTTGGTAGAATCCCTGTTTTGGCTTTATCTCCACCTAAAATGAAAGTTATTGAGTATCCACCACCTTTAACGTTAAATTACTGAAGAAGAAGGAATATTACATGGTCACTTACCGTGATTGTAGGTCCAACGTAGGTGATCAAGTGCTTCGGTATCCTCGTGGCATCAAGCATTTCCAGGGCAGACAGTTTTGTCACATTCCGTGGTATATTACTCAATGGTAGAAAAGAGAGATTATTTGGAAAAGCGAGAAGTTCATCAAATTGTTCAAGTTTCATATTCGCAGGAAGAGAAGGTATCTAAAAGAAAAGGGACTCGAATCTTAGTCTTCGACTGGAATTTTTGATAAAGAAAAACATAGCAATAGAATTACCTTTGCTAACTGATGCACATCTTCAACCCTCATTTCAATGATTCTCGGGCTTACGAGGAACACAGAATCAAAAAAGGGAGTAACCATTCGTTCCATATATTGACTGACCAATTCGCTTTTAGCTTTCCATGTTAAAAGACCACTCTTCCTCGCTTTGGCAAATCTCCATACAATCCTGAATGCTGATAGTTTATTGAGTAATCCCATGTTTTATCAATTTTTCCAATGACGTTGAAACACTCCTAATTACTGGAGTTATATCAATTCGTAAGTTGGGTCAACTGTGGGGATATGGTAGCAATAG